CACACCAGCGTGGTTGACGTTCTCATAGGTGCTGGGGCCGACGCGAATGCTCAAACCTTCACCCATGGGTCCACCCCTCTGATGTCGGCCGCGAGGCATGTCCACACCGACGTGGTGAAGACGCTGTTGGACAACGACGCCGACCCCACCGTTGGCAACGACGTCGGCCAGACGGCCCTTCACTTTGCTGCGGAAGTTATGGGAACGGAGGAAATCATGCAGATGCTTCTGGACGCGGTAGGCGGCCGGCGCCCATGGAGCGCCAGTGGCAATCAGTTTTGGTTGCTCCGTTCTGAACGATGGGCGGCACTTTCTGCCCAGCCATGCATCATCGTCAAAATACGTCGATCACATTTGCCAGACAATGACAAAGCGCAGCCCGTGTGCCTCATAGGCGAAGATGGGTGTGACACCCAAGCAGAATGTTTGTTCCGAATCGCCTATTCATGGTCCCATATCCACACCCCTGCATTGTTTCAAATATGTGTAGTGGGCTTCCCGAGCAGGCTGCCCACAATGCATATCGAAGGCCGCGCTGCTTTAAGGAACACAGGGCTGCTAGGCTGCATTCACCATAACGACAAATGCATCCCTTTAAATCACATGCAGGCGAAGTCATCATTTGAATCCGAACTGTTGTCCCAACGTATATGCAGGCATGGCACCCGTAGACTGCCCGCACTGCCGATGGCCAAAATGTGTCAGAGACAACTCACTGTCCTCAAGCAGGCGCACTGCACAAATGCCGCTATTCCCCAGAGCACCATCCTCAATCAATTGGCAATACTGAAAATTTTGTGACTTAATCTTCAAAGCGTTTGCTGCAAGAGGACGTTCCCCTTTGCTGTAAAGATCGTGGAGAGCGGATTGCCACAGGGCCGCACGGTGCATTCGTGCACATAAAGTCGCGAACAGTGCTGTGTACGGAAGCTTTTGTGGTGTACTGAATTTAAGTCAATTGCATTTGGCGATGCGCCTCTGCGGAAATCCATTCCAGGGAATGCGCAATCGACAAATTTTCTTAGATTTTATCAGGGTATCCAGATTTTCGCAGATTTTCACCAAATTTTGGGAGATCCTCACGATCTTGGAGACTCCGTGGATGCTGGGAAATTTGTGAAGATCTGCCCAGATTTGGAGAGATTTGGACAGATATGCACAGATTTTCACGGAGTTTTGGAGATTTATGCGATTTTCCACAGATTCCAGGTGATTCCCTGGGATTTCCTGATATTTGCTCAGCCTTCCTCAGACTCCCGACTCTCATCAGTATCTGCTCGAATGCACCCTGCGTCTGCCGCAGGGGCTGGACGTCAATACCCAAGACGACCGGGGGGGCACTCCCATCGACAATGCGGCGTATTACGGCAACGAGGACGGCGTCCGGTTTCTGCTCGCGGCTGGGGCGGACCCGGCTGTCGGCGCCGGCGACGAGGCGTGCGGCTGCGTCAAGGCCATCGGGGACGCAGACCTGCGGCAGTGCGCCGAAGGGGCCTGCGAGACGGCCCAGCAGGCCGCGACCATACAGGAGCTGCTGGGCCGCGGGAGCGGGCCCCCGGGGCCGGCCCCGCCGCAGGCGGGGGACGGTGCCGTGGCGACGGAGGACTGCGACTCGCTGCCCACCGTCCTGCAGATCCTGGAGTGCAGGGCGCTGTCGGGATAGAGGCGGTTGAATTCGGGGCAGCCTGTAGCAACCTGGGTTGGACCAAAAGGGGGTGGCCCAGGCTGTGCCAACAGCCCCGGAATTGTACCCAAGGTTGCATCAACGGTTGATAACCTATTGCTTGAATCGCCTTTGGCGGGGCGATTCGGGGTACATTGGGGTGGGAGAGGGCGGCGCGCAAGGGTGGGGGGCTTCATCTCCGACATATAGAAGAGAGTCTCACATTCATGGGGTGTTGACCGAACGTCAAATGTCGTTGTTTGGGACTCGAGAGTGAGGGAAATTGTAAGCGCCGACGGGAAAGCATCTCGGATATAATATTGCAGAGGGCAGGGCTGGTGGACCGCCATGCAGGATATAATGTGTTGTGCCATTTTTGAGGAGCCGTTGCGGCTTTGCTGCGCGCGCTTGAGCGTTTGGTGCTATCGTGGCGTCCCGACGCCATGTGTAGCGCGTTCGTTTCCAACCAGTAGGCTTATGGGCGTGCAATGTCTTCTGGAGGATGCATGCTTGTGTCGGAAACGAATCTGGATTGTAATATCTGTTTGTGTGAGACTCCAAGTTTTTTTTGCATGTCAAGTGCATGACGCTTCCTGGTGCGCATCCATGCGATGCGCCTCGTGGAATGCTGTGTCAAATGCTGGATCGCAATGTGCCTCGCGCTCAGGCAACAGGTCCTCACCTTCCGAGCGCAACTCCCCAGACCCGTTCGCCAATTCGTTTCTCCTGCTGGTTCTTGCTGGGCCAAAGTTTGGGGTGTCGATTTTTCCAACCATTTCTGGATCTCCGACCCCTGGGGATGGAAAATGTATTTAGGGCAAATGTAATTACAGGGAAGATGCCCAATTCGGGACCTCCATAGTGCGCCGAACGGCATCGCTTTACATCCACTTTCCTACGTCATCGCCCATTGCAAGATGCATCGTGACCACATGTCCATCATCGCCGCGTCAACCGTTGCACCTCATGCTGATGGGATGCCTGTCTTACATTACTCACCCTCTTGAGTTCGCCATGAACTTCATGAACATTAACAACTAATCGGTGGATTTGCACAGCAGCGAGCCGATGACTTATTTTTGCAGACAACGTGTTGCCAACTAGACAACGTGTCGCCAGTACTGGCGTGCGCCATGCGGTTGTGCCGCTCACAGCAGCCGGGAGCACAAGTCCAGACGCGGCAAGTCGTCCATTCCGATGCATCCGAATTGCCTCCAGTAACGGCTTGCGCGCCCGGGCGTGGGTGGTGCTATATACGGTCCGCAGTCCGCAGGGAGGGGGGTCGCCCATCACTTTGCGCTGTGACGTGGCATTTTGCCGGGACGCTGTCCCTGCCATTGATTCAGGCACGGATCAGGTCCCGCCAAAACACAAAATCTGGGAGCGGCCCCCGCCAGGCCACAAGTTATGTGGGCAGCCCCCAAGTCTCTGTTGTCGACCAGACCAGGTGCGATAGCAGCGATGGGCGACCTGGTGACCAAAGGATCCCCAGCACATAAGGTGGATTGCCCCTTACCAGCCGCAGCATCGGCTGTTGCAGCGCACCCTTTCGCAAACTTCTGGCCCAAGGGATCAATATTATCGAGCAGATCCACCTCTTGCGCGTGTCCTTCACGGCGTTCGACCAAAGCAAACTATACCCAGAAACAAACATGTGCCATGGCCACCACGGTGGCAAACTGCTATCGGAAACCAACGACAATTGGTGCAGAATTGAAGAGGAAAGTTCCCTTGACTCGAAAACCCACCACAAAAAGCCGATGCGGATTAAATACAAGCCTCCCAGTGTCAATCATGCCTAGGCAAAACAAATGAGACGTAGTATTCTGTGGGATAAGAGCTCGGTTCGAGCCCTGGTTTGTGCTGCCCGCTCACTCAATCGATCGCCTTGCACGTTTGCAGGATGACAGGCTGCAGATCTCGTGGGTTCCGAGCAAAATGTGCCTTGTGACACCAGTAGAAGACAGCCTGTTTGCGATGCCAACTGCGTTGCCATTTGACAGAAATTGATGCCATCACAGCCCTTTTTGTGCCATCGCAGTCACTGTGATAGCGTCAATTTGTGTCAAAATGGCGTCGCAGCTGGCATCGCAAACACGGCGTTTTCTACCAGTGTGAACAGGGCAGTGGCGCTGTTATTGAGCGTTTGAGGTTGCCCATTGTAGTGGGGATACGAAGGCGTCGATCTGACATCCAGTCGTTGACTGTCTGGCGCAGTTGCCAATGAGCCGAGATCGGTTAGGGAGACTGACGGGACAAGCCGGGCGTTGGGGCCATTACAAGTTGTGCAGGTTGGGAAGGCAAAGAACCTGCAGGGCACGCTTGTTGGGTGCGTGGTTCAGCCAACAATGTGGCCGACATGGGCATGCTGCTTGTTCACAAAGGGGCGCATGGCGAAGATGTTGTAAACCCGACCAGCCATGCGGCAGCCGATGCCGCGGCTGGTGGAGGGGCGATGCTCCTTGTGTGCCGGTGCCTGGGATCCCTTGGTCATCGGGCTGACCATCGCTGCTATCGCGCCTGGGCTGGCCAACCACGGAGACTTGGCGGCTGCCCACATAACTTGAGGCCTGGCGGGGGCCGCTCCCAGTTTGGAAACCGTCGTGTTTTGGCGGTGCCTGATCCGTGCCTGAATCAATCGCAGGGACAGCGTCCCGGCGAAATGCCACGTCACAGCGCAAAGCGATGGGCGACCCCCCTCCCTGCGGACTGTATATAGCACTACCCGCCCGGCGTTGTCCCGTTAACGAACCCCGCCGGCGATTCGATCGGGTCGCATGACAGCCAACCCAGACACGGGCAGATTCGCTCGTGCCTCAAAATGTATTAGTCCATCTGTCTTTTCCCTGTGGATCCATCCTTTTCCCGCCGACAAGGCCAACGCCGGTCAGTGGTTCAGTGGTCTTTTTTTATGGTTCAGGCTGTCCGGATCACAAAACGGGATCCACACAAAAAGGTAGGGCGACTGATCCCACGCCAAAGATTCGCTCGTGCCTTCGAGGACACGTGTCTCCCGTGCATTGATCTCCGCCCAGAACTTGACGTTCCGTTCGCGGCGGGCCGCGTCCGGAAGCTTCCACCCCGGGACCGCAGTGCATGCGTGTCCCCACTCCGGTCATTCGATCCACCGGGAGCAAGCGACCAGCATGAATTCCTCAGGAACTCCCGCCACCTTCCGCCGCACCGCCACCAAGGCCTGCCCCCTCCTCAGAAGCTCAAATCCAATCAGGACCGCCCAACCGCCGCCATTCGGCCCGACAGCAGCGAATCAGCCCACCCCACCCACCGCCGCTCACCTCATGCCTCCCCCCGCCCGTCAGCCGGCAGTGCCCCGCAGCCGACGGGGCCGACCCTCAGCCCTGCTCCCCGCCGCGGCCGTCTTGCTGATCGCGCTCCTCGCTCCGGGAGCTGCCGCCGCTCCCAATTCCGATTCCGGAGCGTTCGCGGCCAGGGGGGATCTTTTCGGAGGCATTAGTCCATCGCTTCCAGGTACGGGACATGGATGCACGCCCCAACCCTCCCCCTCCTCCATTTCCTTCCAGCTCGCGGTGTAGGGTCTATGAGGACTGGGGGCATGGGGCTGGCGTGAGCACCTTCTCCGCTGCCGGCGGTTCGGAGAAAAAGAGAAGAAACTGGTGTGAGAAGTGCGCTTGAGCGAAAGCTGGGGAGGGGGGTGGAATCCATATCGCGGCATCGTTTCCAGTCTCGAAGGGCGCCAGCGGGGGAAGGGGAGCGGAATGCGGGGCGACCTGGGGCTTGTTTTGGCATGAGGGTTGCAACCCCGATCCCAAAATGGGGATGGGGCGGGGGCTTTGGACGGTCCCCTCGCGGCCGTGCGGGGGCGTCGGCCGCCCTAGCTCGCGAGAAGGGGCGACCCGTGCCGCTGTTGTGCTGCCCGAAGGGCTGCCCGTCCGCCGGTGTGACTGGGGCCCGACGCCCCTGGATCCTTCGCCGCCGGGTGGGGCGGGAGGAGGCGGCTGATGAGCAGGTTCACCGCGGAATCAGTCGTGATGACGGCATCTCGGCAGGCGCGTTTTGTCATTTTGCGTCTGAATTGGATATATCAAATGGCCGACTCGAGACGCCAAAGCCGAACCCATGTGGGACGATTTGTACGGCCGCAAACGATGGAACGTGCACTAATTTGGAGAGTGTCCGACAAAAGAGCGGACAGCTGACCCTGATTTCGGACACAAATCGACGACTCCGAACAAAAGCGCTGATCTTGGCTCGCGTGTGACCGTGTATGGGCGAGAGGATTGGGGCTTCTGCGCGAGCTAACTTGTTGGTTCAGCGCAAGTGTCGACGTGTGCACACGCGCTGGGGGCCCCATGACCGGGAAGCAGATCGGCCGGGAAGATGCGCCTCGCCTGGAATTGGAGGCCAAATGCCGTATTCGACTGTGTAATAGGAGACCTAGCGTCACGGACGGCCTTTGATTTTCTTGGAGTCCCACCGCCGTGGATAAGTCGAGTTCCACGGTGCTTGTCTGCTTCGCCTGCGGCCAACACATGGTGTGTTTCGCAACGTCCGCTATCGATGCGTGCGTATTGAACAGGAAAGCATCTGGCTCTAGTAGATGGCCGGAGAGTTGCGTGTTTGCGGCTCTGCCACAGACTGCAATGCAAGTGGTGCAGCAGTTGTGGAGCAGCGCAAGCTCAGGGTGTTGTGCAAACTGGCTGCCGCAGCTGCGAATACATCCGATACTTGCTACGCCTTTGCGCCCGGAACTGGAGTTGCGATCTCGAGGGGTCTGACAGTTCAGCGTCTTGTTTGTTCCAGTTGTCCATCATGTGGACAAGGGACTCCCGTTTTCGGCATACCGAAAGCTCCTGCAGAGCGACACGAATAGGGTGAGTTAAAAAAAACGGGCTGAAGCTTCCGGGGGAAATCGACTTGAGCCTCTGAGATCTATTCAGTAATCTGATTTTTGACATTTCGAAAGATTTTGCAAAGCCACACCAACTGGATGAGTGAAAACCGCCTGGTGAAGCTGGGGGGCGGAAGTCGAGTTGTGGCACTGAGATCTATTCAATCATCTAAGTACTTCTTCATTTTAGGGATGACAGAAATCGTAATCGATGTTTCACAGACCACTCTGCGAGCACCATCGCCGGTATGGCATTGAATCTTTGATACAGTTTCTGTCCGGTCGCTGGTGAAAATTTACTTCCGACACTGCTACAGTCAGCGCCAAGTGATGTCAAATTGGTATCTGGTGTATTCGCACTGCGTACATTATTTTTGTTGAACATTATTTATTGAAGCTGAACATGGCTCAATAACTTATTGTTTTTCTTCATTTTTTATTTTCTATTTAAAATTTTCTGGTAAATTTCAAAATTGTACAGTTAAATCTGATTAATTATGTAATTTAAACACATTCTTAAGGATGTGCACAAGCTTGTGCTGTTGTCAGCAGTGGCTTTTGAGCCGTGTTCTGTTGCCTAGATTGAAGGGTTACTATTTGAAGTATTTGAGCTGCAAACTGTGGTTAAATGCGCATGATCAAGGACGACAGATGCATCATATATCACAATATGGCATTGGGTTGAGCGAATTTGTCACCCTTCGCCGTAACACCGTTACTGCGGAAGCTGATGGCTCACGTGGCAAGCGAAAAATTGGCCTGGATGCGCCGGCCCGTGCACCGTATGTATTGCACCCTTCTGCACAGTAACGTAACGCTTGGCATTTTTGCGGAGCAGCGCTAAAATTAGCAAATAACGCTCTGAAAAAAGTGCGGACCAAAAAGAGTAACGTTAGAATTTTTGATGCAGAAGATTCTATTTAAAATGCGATATGAATTGAGAAGCGAATGTCCTTGAGCCGCGCTGTGGTGTCAGCAGGGCCTGCTAGCGGCTGCCGCGGAAGGTGACGTGAATGAGGTGTCTCGCCTGATTGGTGAGGGAGCAGACGTGGACGCAACAGATAGTCGGGACAACACAGCACTGGTTCTTGCTGCTGCTGGAGGCCATGTCAGCGTCTTGCGGTGAGCACTGTGCACTTTTTGGCTATATTTCGAAATGGACGTCGAAACGCTTGCAAATTCATATCCCGCTGTCCATACCAGTATTCATTGTTTGATTGCCGAGATGTGTACCATAGTCTGTATTCTTCATCGCCATTCCTGTTTGCAGTGGCTCAGATGAATCTGTCCGAACTCATTGCGGTGTGCAAGGCGTTCCCGCTTCCTTTAAAGCATATGTCATGCATTAACAAGTGCGACGCCTTGATGTTCAGAAATGCTTGCACAGTTTGGCCATCTGCAACTCATTGCTTTGCTTATGCAGGGTGCTCCTGGAGGCCGGAGCTGCTATTGACAAGCAGGGGCAGAATGGCCTCACAGCGTTGCATGCGGCCGTATCCGAAGGCCAGGTGTCGGCGGCGAGGTTTCTGCTCCAGGTGAGATACCCTTGTAGCACGATTGGACAGAAAAACAGCGTGTACCAAAGCCGCTCCGTGATATGCAACGGCGAAGAATCCCCAAAGTCACCAGGTCTTAAAGCCGTCTGAAAATAGACAACATACAATGAAAACAGTTAGCGACCTAAACTTTTATGGACTTCCGCTCTTGAAGCCCTTCACAGCAGATTTACAAAAGCTTTGCGCTTGAATATCTGCTAATACTTTTGCTGCATATTGACTCAATTACTTGTTTTGAGCAGGCTGACCTTCAGATTCTGTTTGTGCCCAACCCCATGCAATTGGGACAAGTGTCATCGTCATGATGGCTGTTGCTTGCCGTACAGATATTCATGTACATTGTTCGCTGTCGAGATATCCTGGTTGGCAAGCGTCGAGACTGCTCATGTACATTCTACACGTGTGGGATGCAGCGTTCCAATGCTGCACGGTTGTTGCAGCCACAAGCCACATGGACCGGTTGCGTCTTAGCAATGCGGTGCTTTGTATCACTTAGCATTGCATTATTGGTTTCCTTGCTGCGTTCAATGACAGCCCGACACAATTGCTTCCTCAGAAATGTATGGATAAGGAACCCCAACAGAGTGAAATGACGTCTGGTTTTCACCAATTCCACGTTGGCCTGTATTTCATTGCAACAGATTGTTACAACGTAAGAATACACATTGCTGGCGCAACCATGCTCGCTCGGGACGACGGGCATGGAACGGCGGAAGGCGCGCACCGCCTGGTACCGGGTCGCTTGCGCGCACCACACGGCCCCCGAGGGGCGGTTACACAAGCCCCACTACGTCCATGAGCTTAACACGAAAAAGCGACCACGCACGGCGACGCTCGCGCGCACCAGAGGCGGCCCGGTTCCTCATATGCGCAGCGACCATTAGTCATGCGCAATTCCAGGGGTGCCCGCGAACGCGCCGCGATGGTGGGTGGCCGGCCGGCGCCCCCACTCCACGCCGCACGCCAGTGAAGGAAGCCCGGGGATGGGTAGCGAATGAGCAGTCGGCGGGCGGCGGTAGGCCAAACCGCAATTTTGCTCTGAAAAGCTCCGTCGCTTCGCTAGCTCGCAACGAATTACAATTCGTTGGTAATTACCAGCAGTTGATAATATCGAATGTGCTGCCATTCTCCCTAGGTACACAACTGACCAAAATTAGAAGTTCGAACTGAAAAACCCATAGTCGTGGGTGCAAACGTCCCTGCGCAATTCAGTGCATCCTGTATTGACAATAACTACTGTACTTTGGCTTAAGCGCATCCCGAAATTCTGCTCCTGGATGCGAGCCCCTGAGAGTGTTTCTGTCGTAATTTTGCCCAGGAAAACCTATCAGGAACTTGAGGACTGGTCTAATACCGAGGATTGCCCGACTAGGACTTCGAACATGAAAAAGTAACCTAAAACCTAACCTAAACTAAACTAAACTGACCTATACTGAACTAAACTAAAATAAACTAAACTAATCAGCATAGACCGAAACATGACTTTCTTAACCTTAATGACCTTGATGAGCTTCACACCTTCACGACCTTCATCACCATCATGAATTCATGTCCGGAAATGAAGGGCATCGGAAATCTGCACAACGCCAGGCGCGCGCCTCAAAACGCCCAACGTGTGGTGTGCAGGAAGGTGCAGACACAGAGATTGCAGACGGTGATAGGAACACGCCCCTCATCACCAGCAGCGCGAACGGCAACATGGCAATAACCACGGCGCTGCTGGATGCCGGAGCAGAGGTTGACGCCACGGGCTCCTCGCGGAAGACCGCCCTCATGACCGCGAGCATCGGCTCATTCGACCTCATCGTCGACCTGTTGCTGGAAAGGGGCGCGGACCTCACCCTCGTCGACAAGGGCGGCAACACCGCGATTCACTACGCCGCTGTGGGCGGGTCTGTCAAGGTCCTGCAGGTAAGTGGCAACCATCCACCAGCAGAAGGCGGCCTTGTTAGTGTAGGCTAAGCAACACTACTGTGTCAAAAAGCTTCAACGTTAACGCTTTCTGCGCATTTTTTTCAAAAAATTTATGTTTTTTATACTGCTCTGCACATTTATGTCGAATTTTCTCCAAGGATCTTCACCGTTACGCTTTCTGCGCACTTTTTTCAGAGAATTTATGTTTTTTATATTGCTCTGCATAATTGTGTTGAATTTTCTATAAAGAAAAGGCCAGATGTTGCGTTACTGCGCTGAAGGGTTGGGTATTTTGTAGTACTTGAGGCGTAACACACAGCGCATTTACGTGCAATCACACGCAGAAGAAGATTATTTTCTACATTTGGTGTTGCGACAGGATGTGCATGTCGCTGTCCATCCGCAGTGCATGACCCATCAAAAGGTATCATGTCCACGTCTAGGGCCACACAAGTGCAGCCCCACTGTGATCACATGCAAAAGAATTTTTTTACGTTTCCGCGCTTTCACATGCAAAAATGTGTAAGTACGACGTACCACAGTCCCACGTACATGAGGACAGTACATACAGATTTACAAAGTCCGGGGAGTGGCAGCCGGACGCCCTGCAAGGGGGAGAAAACGAGCTTTTGCTATACTACGTCATTGCCCTTGCCGAGGGCGAGGTGGACACTGTGTTGGGTGCTGCAGATGGCGGAAGACTGGTCATTGTACGCGACTTTTATAGTGTAACATGTGTGTCCCAATGAACCGGCAAACCGTGGAAACAGTCGAAAAGTGGCCCCTTTGGTCAAATTTATGGTTTTGCGCATAAGAGAGTAACAGTAAACACAAATACCAAGCCTGCGTGGCCTGACCAGTGTGTCGATTGTTCACGTTAGCTGCAATAATTTTCATTCACTCATTCCAAACTCTTTGTACTTTCCTGCATGGCGCTGCGCGTGTTTTGCGTTTCTTACAGTGCGACACTGATCAGCATTGTCATGACAACCTGTCGCTGGAGAATGCTTTCCGAGAACAGCCATGAACACTACTTTGGAACACTGCTGCACAGGGTTAGATACATTGTCGTATTGTGCAGTGCCATTTTCCGGAAAGGTTGACTATGTTCCCTCATGCGCAGTCCCTCATAGACGCAGGGGCGGACGTCAACGCCCTGCAGGTCGGCGAGCGCACCCCAGCGATGTATGCGGCAGAGTTCGGCAACGCGCCGGCGCTGCGCCTGCTCATTGCCGAGGGGGCGGACATGACTCTGCAGTCGACGTTCGGGACTCCCCTGCACCACGGCGCCTTGTTCCCCAACAACGCCATCGTCCTCGGAATCGCTCTCGAGGCCGGGGTCGGCATTGACGTCAAGAGAAACTTCGGCACCACCGCCCTGAACGAGGCGGCGTATTACGGAAACATTGTCAACGCTAGGTTTCTCGTGGAGCAGGTGAAACTGAAACGCCAATGCCTGATGTGCTGTTGTTGTTGCTGTGCTTTGATCCAAAGTGTTGCGCCGTTTTCGCCTGCAGAAATGGCAATACTGTGGTGCTAAATGCGATGGCATTTGGCACTAATTGGTGCCGTCGCAGCCGCTGTTGCGCCCGAGCAATCATTGAGATGGCGCGTCACATTGTGTCAAAATGGCACCGCAGTTGGTGTGGCAACAACGTCGCTCTCTGCGAGTGTTGAACACGCAGTGCTTGCATGTGTGCTGAACACAGACTAACCTAGGGTATGCATGGCTAGTGGCACCACACATGAAATTGTAAGTCGATGTAAGGCCGGAAAAGGCGTGAAAACAAATGCTTTGCCTAAAATGATAACATGGACGCTGCTAAAAGTATGATATTATGAATGAATCATTGTGCACATGCATATGCATACATCCATGAGGCCATGGTGGTACGCATTACGAATTCAGGGGCTGGTAGCGTGAAACATAAAAACTGCACACACAAGTAGTCTGCCAGGGAATTTGCAAAAATGATGGATTTTTTCGACGTCCGAGAGTGCCTGACGATAGTACAATTATACAAGATGTGGCGAAAGCTTGAGCTTCATTTGCACGAAACATGCTGGTTGTAGCCTGGATACTGTATGTTTCCAAAAATATTCTGAAGTGACATATGCCAATTTGCCCGAACATCACAACGTACAGCAGTTCAACATTTTTTCAATGTGTTAAATATTCAGAAGAGTTGCACACTCCGATTTCCAATGAATCGGAGAAATTGCACAGAACATATTGTTTTGCAAGGACAAAATGTCGGGATACACACATGGTGCTGGGTTGGTTATGATTGTTCTTTCGCAGCATCATTGGCCATTGAAGGAACAGGACGAAGAAAATGATACTAGAAGTTGGACGTGTGGGTGTCACAAAAGATCTGCCAATTAACTTTCAACTTACTACCTGTGTCGCCTCCGAAGAATGTACTTATTAGTTGATGATATACGAATGGGGATGAACGCAGGCGCCCGTTAGCTACCATGGCAGAACCCATGGCCGCCGAGCGAGGATGTGGATACGTACAGATTTTCTATTTTGGCATGCAGGGGGCAGACAATGCGCTGAACGGCAGGCCGGTGTGCGGCTGCAAAGACGTGGAACCGGACTCAGATGCGAGGATGTGCCCAGCTGGAAATTGCGAAATACAGGATGAAATCGACGAACTCAAGAGCATGTTTTCAGCGGGACAGGTACATAACCAGCGCTGTTCGCTTTTCTTCGTTTGGATTTCGTGAATGACTTCTGTCCCAGCAATTGTGTTCGCCAGTGCTCAGCATTCACCAGTGCTCAGCATTCACCAGTGCTCAGCATTCACCAGTAGAAAATTTCACAGAAATGGATGCCATGCAGCCACTTTCTTCCCATAGCAACCGCCTTGACGGCATCATTTTGTGCCAAAATAGCATCGCAGTTGGCATCGCAGACACGCCGTTTTCTACCAGCGATTGTTGCAGGGCAATCTGCCAATGCATGTACTCCAGTTGCACCTCCCGCAGGGCCTGCTTGCATGTTTTGATGACGATTTCATTTCCGACACACACACAGCTTTCACTAGGGAAAAAAGGGCCAAATAACACTTTTGCGAACACACGTAAAACACATTTCATCAAAGTTCTGCACGCTAATAACACAAAAACAACACAAACCCGTAAACTTTGTACACGTTTGAGCACGTGTTATTTGTCCCTTTTTTTCCTAGTGTTTGAGGAGTTGCCTGACAGAGGTTCGCGTTTTCGGCACAAAGAGAAGCGAGCATGAACACAAACACGTTTGTTGCGTGGCCCTTGAGCCGCTCGGACCTGATTTCTTTCCAGTATAACTGGTTCACACAAGACCGAACTTGCCGCGTGCATGCGCTGTGAGATCAAACGATGATGAATAAGCATTTCGCGCGGATTCAGGGGATGCTTTCATGCGACGAGAAGTCGTTGTGAGACGGTAAATCTCATGGAAAATCCCTCGGGATATCATTGATCCCTTAATACGAGACCCAATGGCATACCGCACGCTTTTCAAACCGCAACCCCGCGCGTTTGTGCTGTTCTTCATAATTTGCACACAGGACTTGCACTCACAGAAAACGGCATCGTTGCGATGACAACTGTGATGCCATTTTGATACAATGTGACCCCATCTGAATGGTTGCGATGGCACAAAAGCAGCCGTGACGGCACCAATTGGCGTCAAGTCCCGTCGCAGCCAGTGTCGCACCAATGTGTTTTCCTGTTGGTGTTGGCGCTCTTGGTAACGGCATTTTGTCCATCCTGGAATGGCAGACGATCCACGACGCGGTGGTATCGGGAGACCTGGACGCCGTGAATGCGCTGCTGGCCAACGGAACAGACCCGGGCGAGACGGACGCCGACGGCGACACCCCTCTACACCTTGCCGCAGCAAGGGGGCTGGAGGAAATTGCGACAGTGCTTCTGGAAGCCGGTGCAGACGTGGATGCCAAGGATGCCGAAGGATTCACCCCGCTGCATGTGGCTTCCTTTTTTGGCCACATTGCAGTAGTTAACGTTGTACTGGATGCAGGGGCGGATGTGAGCCTTAGGATCGATGAGGGCTTCACGGCCCTGCACTTGGCCGCACAGGAGGGGTACGACAGCGTGGTGCAGGTGCTGGTGGCAGCCGGCTCCGACGTGAACGCTCAAACGTTCAAGTCCGGCGGCACAGCTCTGATTTTGGCCTCGGGGGGTGTCCACACCGAGGTGGTGGGGACGCTGCTGGACAACGACGCCGACCCCACCATTGGCAACGACTTCGGCCACACGGCCCTTCATCGCGCGGCGGAGGTTGTGGAAACGGAGGAGATCATGCAGCTGATTCTGGACGCGGTAATCGGCAGGCGCCCATGGAGCGCCAGCGGCAATCAGCTTTGGTTGCGCCGTTGGGAACGACGGCAGGCGCTTTCTACTCACCCGTGCATTGTTTCTATAATGTGTAGTGAGCTTTCCGTGCAGGCTGCCCGCAATATATATCGACGGCCGTGCAGCTGTAGAGGAAACATTACTCGTTTGCATTCATCACAGCGACAAAGTGCAGTGTTTTAAGTCACATTCTGACGAGGGCACCATTTGAATCCGAACATTTTTCCCAACGTATACGCCGTGTATGGCGTGGCGCCCGTAGTCTGCCTACACACAATGTGCCAGCTGAGAGCCAGAATTTTTGAGAAGGCGAGCCGCACAACGGCTGCAATTTCTTGGCATACCATCCTCCCTAGAAGAAATGACGACCTGAAAAAAAGAAGTGGATAGCAAACAGTGTAACGGTGAAAGTTAAGACTGCGGAAGGGTTGAATACTATACGTTAGTGAATTTTAATGACACAATCTTGAAATGGAACGAATGACGAGGCGTTTGCTGTCAGAACAAATTACCACTTTGCGTTCAGGATCTGGCTGTGCAGGTTGCCATACGGCCGCACGGTGCCTGCGTGCACATAAAGCTGCGAACAATGCTGTGCACAGAAGCTTTTGTTGCGCATTGAATTAAGTCAAATTCATCTGGCGGTGCACCTCTGCGGAAATCCATTCCAAGGAAAGCGCTGTCAACAAATTTCTTCAGATTTTCGCAGGTTTTCACTTATTTTGGGAGATTTTCACAAACTTTGGAGATTTTTGGAGATCTCTAAAGATTTTTGCAGATTTTTGCAGATTCCAGCAGATTCCAGCAGATTCCGGCAGATTCCCCAGGATTTCCCCAGATTCCCTCAGCCTTCCTCAGATTCCTCGTATTCCAGACACCTGTCCGCAGACGCCTGAGTCTCCGCCCCGCGCCTGCCGCAGGGGCTGGACATCAACGTCCAGACGAACCTGGGGAGCACCCCCCTCGAGCACGCGGCGTACTTCGGCAACGAGGACGGCGTAAGATTCCTCCTCGCGGCCGGCGCGGACCCGGGCGTCGGCGCCGGGGACGGTCATCAGGATGAGGCGTGCGGCTGCATCACCGTGATTGGGAACCCCAACGCGCGGCAGTGCGCGGAGGGTGCCTGCGAGACGGCCCAGCAGGCCGCGACCATTGAGGAGCTGCTGGGCCGCAGGGGGGCACCCTCGAGGCCGGCCCCGCCGGCGGTGGTGGACGGCGCCGTGGGGACAGAGGACTGCAGCGCGCTGCCCACCGTCCTGCAGATCCTGGAGTGCCAAGCGAACTCGGGGTCCATGTGAGCGCGCGGGGTGGCCGTGCGTTTACAGGAGGGGGTTGAGTTCGGTGCAGTTTGTGACAACTTAAGTTGTATCAGCAGGTCGCACCCCAGGTTGTATCGACAGTCGACTCCCAGGTGACCACCCCGGTTGTGCCCCAGGATGCGTCCACGGTTGATACCTTTTGGTTTGAACTGTCTTCGACATTTTTTGATGTAATACATTGGAATTAAAAAAAAAACTGTCTTCGACGAGACAATCTGTGGGAAAATGCGGTGGTGGTGGTGGTGGGTGGGTGGGTGGAGGGGGGGGGGAGGGGAGTGCAAGGGTGATGGTCTGCGTTTCCGGCATCTAGAAGATCGTCCAGCATTCATGGGTGTAAATCAGATGTCAGATTTCGTTGCTCGGGACGCAGTAATGGGGAAACCTGTAAGGGCCGCCGGGAGAATATCTCGGATGGATCATTGCAGAGGGAAGCGCCGGTGTACAGTCATGCAGAATGTAATGTGCTTTGCCATTTTTGAAGACCCGTTGCAGCTTCTGTGCGCGTACTTGAGCGTTTCGTGCTAGCATAATCTCCTGGCCTAATGCGAAGCGCTTTCATTTGCACGCATTAAGCAGAACGGTATGCAATGCTTTCTTCTGGACGCATGCTTTTGCCGGGAACGGATGTGGATGGCAATACCTGTTTGTGTGACATTCCAAGGTGTTCTTGCACAATGCGGATCTAGTTACATGGCGCCTCCTGGTGCGCATCCATGTGATGTGCCATGCGTGGAACGCCATGTCAAATGCCGGATCGCAATGTGCCTCGCGCTCGGTCGACAGCTCCAGGACTCCCAAGCGCCAAGCCTCAGACCCGTTCAACATATCGCCTCCGCTGTTGCATCTGGTTTGGGCAAAGTTTGGTGTGTTGATTTTTCCTCGCATGTCTAGACATCCCACACAGCGGCCTGGGAAGTGTATGCAAGGCAACAGTAAATACAGCGAAGATTTGCAATGCGGGACCTCCATGGTGCGCACGACAGTATCGCTTTTCCAATATTTCCAAGATACTACTTTTCAATAAAAGTCAGCCCTGACTCATCTGAGCAGCTTTCAAAAACACCTTGCCAGGCCTGAAAAATGTGCATTCACATTCCATGTCCATGGGAGATCCCCGCGTATCTGAAGTGCTCCCATCCTCGCGTGTGGCAAGCCAAAGTCATTGCCGCCGTTGTGGTGGAGGGCAGCATCAAGCACATGGAATAGCACCTGCCAAACACGTTCAGGCATGTTTGGATCGTGGATGTAGAATGCCGTTGTCATGGCATCAATGATGGCCTGCAGATTTGCCCCATGATGGATGATCCTTGATTTCCAATGTATGGACCTGCAACGAGCGAAAATAACCAAGATCCAAGACATACAATCTGGGCTTTGGGCAGGCTGCCACTCCAATGTTGTAACCTCTCTTGAAGCATTCCGCCTCGATCGATGTTTGAATCGACGATTTTGTGTGTGGCTTAGGCCCATCGAATTGGATAACGATATGCTTCTTCAAGTGCCTGCAAGCATCTTTTATGATGGGTAAGACATTGTCCACTGTTATTTACCTCCAAGATCCCCATCCACTGAAACCAACTTCAATTCTACCTCTCCGGCAGCCCTATGTGTGCTTGATTGCACTGCAAACCCCTCCCTCACGAATGGCTAGATGCCTGTCAATCCATTGAATTTGGTCTTGTTTGGCCATTTGTGGGGGCGGCTAACAACAACCAAAAACATCACTTTCTTTGTAAATTCTATGATTTGGGAGCCCTAAGACGTCCTTCTTCCAGCTGATCCCACACTTGATGAGCATCTTTCATCAAATAGAACCATTTTTATCCATGTGAACTGTGTTTGCAAAATTGAAAAACACCCACTTGTGGCCCACTTTGCGCGTGTGGGCCACAATCCAACGCAACCTAATGACTCTTTGCTCTTGAGAGAGATAAGGCTTTATCTGCCTATTAGCTCATCTTGCGCTCATCCCCCTCAAGTGCCAATACAGTATCGATTATGAAATCTCTGTCCTCTCACCCATTGCCTTAATTTTCCACCGATTGGTGGGGTGTGGTGTAAACTACAGGGGGTAGTTATTGTTTCTCTATATGAGATCTGGAAATTGGAATACAATGATTATGGTATAACATGCGAAAGTGGACTCTGTTAGGAGCCCATAGGTTTTTGAACCACCCTAATTGGCTTAGCGGTTGAGGAGATATGGTTAGTTGAATATCTAGTACTTTAGGGCCCTCTCCTGGACCGTATTGGGGGATGAGGGATATGATACGATACGGTGCGCTGCATTGTCACGTGACACGTGCTGGTGGCCACCCCAAAAGGGTGACCACCTGATGCAGTACTGTTACAGTACTACTGTAACCGTTGTTTCCCTTGTCTCGCGCCTCCCAGCGGCTGCACCCGCGAGCCGCACGGCACTGCGCACCCACCGCGCGCACAGCCGCCCTACGCCCGGCCATCCCTGCGGCCTGGGCCCACACTGCGTACCCGAAGACACGAGCGCCCCGGAAAGCCCACCGGCAATCCGGCAGAGGAGGCCCCGCGGCCTCATTGGGCGCCTCGGCGGGCGCCATCGCCCACATCAAACTGAAAACCACGCCATGTGGTTTCGGAGCCGGCAGACGCAGAGAGTGGAAGCGCGCCACACGGCGCATGAGAGCCGAGGGGACCCGGCCCGACGTCGGGAGGGCCCCCCATTCATGAGAGATCCAAGGAGGCCGGCCGGCCAGGTGGGCGCCTCGCGACGCCGTCTGAATCGGCCAGAGGATCCGAGCCGGACCGAGTGCTTGGCCCTAAGGAGGGGGGCACATTCTGCTGCTTCTCGCGCCTAGCCCGATGGCGGGGGGCATTGGCTTGTGAATCCGCACGCCGAGCTCGACGGCGGGAGGCACATTCCGTGGGAATTGACCGCCGGATCGGGGAACCGGAGGACACTACTTCTGCGGGGCATCCGGGCCCGGCGGCGGGGGCTGCGATCCGCGGACCCGCGCGGTGAATCGGCGGCGGGGGACACAGGCCGGCGGGTGCCAAGCCCGTGGAGGGGCATAGTGAGTAGAGTGAATGGGTGGAGGCAGCACCCGGGGTCGCGGGGGTCAATGCAAGCGTGACTGGACCCCTCCGAGTGACGTGACGGGGGGAAACTGAGGGAACCCGCCCGCGCCGTGTACTGCCGGCAGGGGGGGTCCCGAGTAGCGACCTCCGAGAGGGGGGCGCTGAGTAGCGACCTGCCAGGCCCTGCAAGTGAACTGTGCCTCGCCCTGTGACTTTGCATCATACTGGATCCAGGAGGATGGTGATTCTCCACTCCAGGGAGCCTCCTGGGAAGTTTTTGCCTACATCAACACTCTGCAGGAGTAGCTGAGAGGTCCATAGACCCTCTCAGTGGGTGGAGAGCGGTTCTCTACGTTGAACTTGGAATAGTTGAGGGGTCCACGAAACCTCTCAACGGGTAGAGAGCAGCTGCCAGCGACTCGACTGGAGTGGCTGGGGGGACTATTTGCCCCTCAACAGGTGGAGAGCATCTTCCTAGAGGACTCTATTGGAGTAGCTGAGGGGGTCGATTGCCTCTCAACGGGTGGAGAGCAATTCCCAGCGACTGGAGCTGACAACCCCTACGTCCGCCCTACGACGTATTGAGGAGTACGACAGCTCCCCAAGAGGCTTAGTAGGGTGCTTGAACACCAGAGCCTGATCTACAGAGGCCAGTTGGGTGCCAGTGCACCAGACCCAGGGCCCTCCGAGCGGGCCAGTGATAGTTTGGGGGCCGTCCCACTCCATTAGGGCACTTGGCCAGGAGGTCGGGGGGCGAAGGGCTGAGAGTCACGGTCAGTACTTGACCAGCCTAGACAACTGTGAAGGGTTACAGGCTCGCCTGGTGGCAACAGTACCTTATCCAGAAAAAAGGCTGACCCCAGGTTGAAGCCGGCGGCCGCCCCACAGTTGTTAAGGGGGTGCCAGTAGAAGTGGGTAGATGGGACACGGACCGGCTTGCACCTTACATAGCCCCCCAGGCGGCAGTTAGAGGGGGAGCTCTTGGTGCCTATCGCTCGCGACACAGGACGGTAGAAGAGCGGCCTATAGTGCTGCGCAGACACTTCTACTATTCCTAGCCTAGACCAGTGCCCCCGAGCTGCCATCCGGGCGAGGTGTGGCGGAGGGGCTTCGAGCGGGTCGGGACGTGAGGCAGTTGTGTGGCCGTTCCTCGGGAAGTCCTCCCCAGGCAAGGGGGACAGGAAAGGTTCAGTTTCTGATCAACTGGTGGCATTCCCGGGGGTGTGGCAGGGAAGCCTCTCTTTAGAGGGGTGAGTAAAGTACTCTTTGAGTATTCTTAAATTCCCTGTTGCTAACCTAGGAAGAAACTAGTTGTAAAGGGCTGTTCTGGAACTGTTGTGGTGAAGCCACTTGGCACCTTGTTGGTTGGGGAAGTATAGTACCCACTGACTTGAAGACGTTATTTGGTGGATCCTGGGGCTTCTCTGAGCGATATCAGGGACTACGCTCTGGGATATACCCAGGGTTGGACCTCCGTGCGGTCAGACTACCGACTACATCAGTATCAGCATCAGTTCTCAGTCAGTCATCATTCAGTCTTCATTAGTTTTGCCGGGATTATTGGGGATTCATCCTGCATTTATTATTTCATTCTGCATTCCGCTGTTTTTGCATGAGTGAGCACCTATGGCGGATAGATGGGATCCATTGGCATTTTTATGGTCGGAGATGGAGGAGGCTATGGGTCCTGATGCTGTTCTCTCTGTGTCTCGCCCTGCAGCAGTGACTTGTACTGTGCCCGTATCCAAGGCAGCTGATGATGCACAACTACGGCCTCAGTCCCCTCTACATACTGGTATTTTATCCATGGAGCATCACGTAGATCATATTGTATTGGGGACGGGAGCATGTACGAGTAGACAGCCGTACTCACCACATACGCCGAGTCAGTGGACGTTCACTCAGCTACATACATAGACATTGCC